CCCATTGGAGATGCCCTAGTTAGCCAGATTTCCTCGGCGCCTTGACTTGATCGTGGGATGGCACGATGCAACGGTCATGGCGACATGACAGGCGCCGAGCGGGGAGTGCTGGGATGGCAGTAGTAGTACTCACAAACCTGGTTTTTCGTTTTAGGTTAGAGTTTGTAACCACGGAATAAAAGCAGCAGAATAAGAAAAGCTGCACGTTGTTCGTAGTGCAAAAACTCTCTCCTTCTCTCTCAACTCAGGTGATCGCCGGAGTTCCACGGGGCAGGGTTCCTCCGGCATCGAGGGCTCTTCGTCGTGTTGGAAGAGACGACGGTGTTGTGTGGTGCGAGGAGCTACGGCCGAAACCGGGGCCTGACACCGGGGATTTCAACGTCGCCGTGTCGCGCCACCACGTGGAAGCGGACAAAGTTGGCGGCCAGGGACGTCGCCGAGCAGGTCCGGCGGGAGGCTGGCCCACGAGCGGCAAGGTCACACGACGGCGCGAGCCTGACCATATTCATAGTCGGAGTCGGACACGCTCGAATCGATAGATCCAAGGAGACGGCCGGAAAGACGCGCTACACACGCAGCCAAAACACAGCCAGTATAGAAAAGCCCTACGATTGGTTTCATCACGTTGCCAAAATAGAAATAGAAACCCTACGATTGGTTTCACGTTGCCACCAGACTGCCGCCGTCGCCCATCTATTGACAATGATGGGGCGTCGCCGCCGCAACGTGGAGATCCCCAGAGAGATCCTACACGACATCCCGATGAAGCTGACGACCAGGGACGTGGCCCGGTCCTGCTGCATCTCCAGGCAGTGGCACGCCGCCGTCGGCGACCCCTCCTTCCGCACCGCCCACGCCAACGCCATGGCCATGGCCGGCCACGCCGCGCCCCCGGCGGAGGTCCTGCTCGTCTCCAAGACGTGCGAGCCCGGCCTGGGCGACGAGGTGAGCGCAGTGGCGGATCTACCATTGGGGCGAGGTGGGGCGGCCGCCCCGGGTCCCCGCCGGCGGAGCAACGATCCCCGCCTACCTATCGTCCGGTGGTAGTCTGATTTCATGGCGGCGGCGAGCAGTTTTCATGGAGGCGGCTTGTTTCTTGTTTCCACGAAGCAGTACGTGAGGTAGGGCTGGGTGAGGGAGAGAAACGCGTTTGGGCTGGGCTGCAGCAATGGGGCTAACCTGTAGCATTCGCACAATCGCATTTAAGGCCCAAGTGATCGAACGCATGCTGCCGGATACCGAACATCGATCCAGCTCAGCAGTACTGAATGGGTTGGTCTCCTACTGTCAAAATCAGTGATAAGCAGACTATGGCACATTTTTATACTTTGCGGAAACGTAGAGGCCATCTAGCTTGACAACCTCGTGTTCTTTGTACAACTACATGTTAGAGGTATACTGCCATCTTATGAAAATATACAATAATTTTTTTGGGGGGTAGAAAATATACAATAATCCTTCCGTTTTAAAATGTAGCACGCCCACGCTTTTCAAGGTTCAACTTTAACCATAAATTTAATCAACGAGACCAACTGCGGCGGAGGCAAACATTATATAATTGAAAACTTCTTTTGAATACGAATTCATTGCTATAATTTTTAGTCCTGCCGCAGTCGGTCTCGTTGGTTAAATTTATGGTCAAAGTTGAAACGCGAGAACTAAGGACGCACTATATTTTGGAACGGAGGGAGTAGTTATCACACTTAAGCCAATACATTTATAATTTTGTAGGCCTCGCTTGAGATTGTGGATATGTATTGTGACATCAATATGAAGAATCCATATTAATTGTTTCAGAGACCTTCTTATGTTTTTGGTAGTTGAATGACATGAATTTTGATTAAGTAGATTTATATTTCCAACAGTGTTCGCCCCGGCTAACTTCAATTTTTGGGTCCGCCACTGGGTGAGCGTCTCCAGCATGTCCTCGGGCAAGGACCTACGCTCCTTCGCCGTCCCCGGCGGCTACGACCTCGCCGACGTCTGTCACGGCCTCCTCTGCTACGTGCACCGCGCCGGCGGCCCCGAGGCGCCGGCGGTGGTGTGCAACCCGGCCACGGGCGAGACGCTGGCGCTGCCCAAGCCGCCCCCGCTCGCCGCCAAGGGCAGGAAGCACCTCTTCGCCCTGGGATTCAGCCCGCCTACCAACGAGTACAAGCTGTTCAGGTTCTCGCCCTTCTCCATGGACGTGTACACCTTAGGCGACACCGCCGGGTGGCGGCAACATTTGCGCAGCTGGTCATCTTGTCCAACCCAAACCACGGCCTGGGCGCCATTGCTGATCGACGGCAAGCTATACATGCCGACGAATTGCTGGAAGCGGGTGCTGGTCGTCGACGTGGTCACCGAGACGTGCCGCTCGTACGGTCTCCCCGATGTAAAGACTTTTGATGGCGTGCCGCTAGTGGGTGCCTTTGAGCTCGAAGGCCGGCTGTGCCTCGCCATCCACAAAGTCATCCATGACCTTCCCCGGGGCCTCAACCATTGGGTCACGATGTCGCCACCGCCGGAGGACGACGGCAACGAAGCGCCGCTCTGGGAACCGCGACATAGGTTTGACATCGACGAATTCTACGCGACCAAGCCTTGGAGCGCCTGGGCCGATGATGGCGGCGAGATGCTATGCTACATGCACGGCAACACCCTGCACAAGTATGACAAGAGAGGACGCCCGCCGATAAGTGAACAGCTCCGGCTCCCAGAGATACCATCAGCATGGAGATCTTCGAAATGCCGCTGGAGCATCCATGGGGGTTACCATCTCACCCTGCTCTCTCCTCTTACCTTTGCCTTGCCGCCTTCCAATGACAAACACCAATTCAAGCACACCCTCTCACGTGTACTGTACGACGCCATCCGTCGGTGAGGAAAGCAGAGGAATATATATGAAACTTAGCTCACAAAAAAAGTTTTACTCGTCATTTTGTGAAGAAAATTCAGTCATAACTTTGCTTCGTATTTGACAAAGTTAGTGTCTGCTTATGGTGATAAACTATATGACTACTACAGCAACAAAAAAAAAACAAGAAGAGGAGAGGATAAACCAAGCATGTCTGCTTATTTTCATTACTCTATGATCTGAACCATATTCGGAATATGATTTATCATACGTGCAGTTTGTGAAAGAAAGTGAATTTCGTGATATGTGAAATACAATTTGTGGTATGTGAAACATGCGTGAGGCTAGTGTATGTGTATGATTCAGACATTTCTATGATCCAGTTTATGAAATCTGTGAAAATGTTGAAATTTCAGCCTTTCGAAATTAGAAAAATAGCTGGGAAACTATTAATTACAAATATCAAAATATGTGAAAATGCAGAAGTTGCAGTTTCTAAAATAGTTGGGATATGTATTTTAATTGTGATTTGTGAAATAGGAGTAGTTCCTAGTGTTTAGTTAATGAAATTAAAATTTTGGAAATTTTGCAGGTTTTAAATAGTTGTTATGACTTTTAAATAATATGAAATCTTTCTAGAATAATTGAAATATATAAAAATGGTTGAAAACAATTTATTGAAACAATGAAACGGTTGAAATCAGACTTTTTATTTTTTGAAAATATCCGACGAACGTCAGATATCTGGCATTTATCCAACGAACGCATCGACTATCATTCGATCTTCTGGCACGAATCGCGGAGCAAGGATGGTGCCGCCCATGACCTCCTTAAGGAATGACATGGCGTTTACCACTTGGCCCGAAATTGTCTTGTGAACAATGCAGTAAAAGTTGCTATATATATGCTTTGAAGGTTGTTTTAAATTCGGCTTGAATTAAAATAACCAAAAATCTCAATTTATTTTCACTTTTGAAAGAACAAAAACCCGTTTCTTTTTTCTATTAAAACCATGACATCTTTTGTGTCTTCCAAAACATGGCATTTTTACTTCACATGTCAATTTTATTATTAGGAGCATGCCATTTTAATAATTAATAACATGAAGTTTTTATTAATAACTGGATATCACTTTTATTATTAAGAACATGCCATTTTATTAATAAGAGGATGGCCGTTTTATTATTAAGAGCATGTAATTTTAATAAACAATAACATGGCATTTTTATTGTTAAGAGGATGGTGTTCTTATTATTAAGAGCATGCCATTTTTATTATTAAGAGGATGCCATTTTTATTTTTATGGCATGGCAATTTTTTCGTTTTTGACCATGGGAATTCCTGTGTTTTTTTATATTTTCGGAAAAAATATAGAATCTAATTTGGGCTTATTGAGATAAAAATATTTTTTATCTAGAGGATGGCAATTTTTAATTTTAGCATGTCAAATTTTATTTTTTCCTAGATCACAGGACCTTCTTTTCTTTTGATCATACTCATTGTGAATTTATAAATTAGATAAATGGTAGTTTTATAAAGTAGCATGACATTTCTCATAATTCAGATCATGGCAATCAGAGTCCTCTTTTTGTTGATGGCATTTTTCCAGAAACAAATGTTAACTGGGGCACACACCAAAATGTTAACTGGACCCCAATTGCCATTTTTCAATATTTTATATCTTCATATCAAAGGAAAGCAGATTTTCCTTTTTTTCGCCCTCGACCATCGAGATTTTCAACAACTCCGGAAATGACCGCTTTACACCATAGAGTATTGAAATTCCATAGCAAATGGTTTTGAACAGTCACAAGAAATAGCCCAAATTCTCCGGAGCAACTGGGCAAGAGGATGGAGAGAAACCCATTGGAATTATCAGAGAAAACAAAAAAAAAGCACACTTTTTCTTTAATCATTAGTACTTCAACAAACGCTATGACTAAAGAAAAAGTGTGCTTGTTTTCTTTAGTGAGAAACATGGTGGGCGGTGGCTACACACCTTTCAAATTAGCCAGCACCACCCATCCTTTCTTCCTCCTCGAGAAATATCAGCGCCCGGGCCCACTGTCATCCGCAGCAGTTCCGTGCGAAGGCTATTTAACTGACGTGTGGAAAAAGCGAGCAAGAAATTTACATTCTTCTCCTCCCCCCTCCTCCGGCGATGACCGCCGGTCTCCTCCTCGGCGACGCCGCCGCGGCCCCGCGCGCCCGCATCGCCGTCTGCCGGCCGCGCCTGCACCTCTGCGGCTGGGCCCCGAGGCCCCACCACGGCTGCCGCCTCTCCCGCGGCCGGGGGCGCGCGCCGGCCAGGTTCGCCGCGTCCGCGTCGGGCGGCGGGCGGGGCGGATGGGACGAGCCCTCGGAGGAGGAGGTACGACGGGAGAGGGAGGCGGAGATGGCGCGGCGGCTGAAGGAGGCGGAGGAGATGGACGAGCTGGAGCGCACCGCCGAGGAGCTGCAGAGCCGGGCCGCCCCCGACGACGAGTCCGAGGAGGAGAAGCGCGAGCGCGTCCGCCGCGAGCTTCAGAAGGTCCCCAACCTCTCTACTCCACGGCCACAGCTTCATACCGCCACCGCCGCGTTGTTGATTGCAGATTGCCTAGTAGCACTGCAGCACATGTGCACAGCCACACTGGCACTGACGCCGCAGAACCAAATTAGCATGAAGAGGGGGGGATTAGAATTGGATAGAACCAAGCTACACACCACTAGCTAGTTTACTGCTTATAATTTGTTATCATCCCATCTGTACCTACATTATTCTACAATTGGATACTTGCAGAACATGGGGAAGTAGGATGATCATACTGGGTGTGTGTTTGCATTGCAGGTGGCCAAGGAGCAGGCTGAGAGGAGGGCGACGGGGAAACAGATGTTCGATCTGGGGCAAAGGGCGTATGGGAAAGGGATGTATGGCCGCTCCATCGAGTTCTTGGAGGCCGCACTCACCATCATACGTCCCTCCTCGCTCCTCGGCGGTGAGGTAGTATCTATCTATATTGGACATATCATGCTATTGCTATGAGATATTGAGATCCATGCGTATGAGGTTACCTGTAGTCTGCTCACTGGTATGCTAGCTATGCCGGTGTCTTGTGTTGCCTATGTTATACATAGTGAAGTGACATCAGATGTACTAAATGGTCATTTAAGCGAGTTAATGAAGGATGAAACCAACACCACTTATGTGGAACAAGAATATAGCTAGAGCCAGGGAGAACCGAAATATTTCTTCCAGAGAGCACTCGCGCCAAGGTGCATCGCTCCCTCATTTATTCTTAGAAAATTTCACAACTCACTACATATAGGCATCCCTTACTTATATGAATCCTTCAAAACCATGGACAGAAGTTTGCGCACCTGATTGCTAACTTTTCCAAACTGGTATTTAGAAGAATAAAGTGATGGGAGTGAACATTTAAATCGGTGAGAATGACTAAATTAAGCCTGAGCATAGAAGTTATTTACTTTGTGGTAAACTGGGAACTAGAAAGCTTCACATAATTGGAATTACGTTGGAGTTCCTTCTCGTTTGGTGAGCAGGGATGCCGAAAGCAAATGCTCTTGATGCTCGGTATAGTTTACAGGCAGTTGAATGCACTGCAGGTAAGTATGCAAAATGAATGGACTTAGTGGCGGTTGGCACATTTCATTGCTAGCTTGTTATCACAACCTTAGCTGCATCTCAACCTACGAGAAAGACCGGCATTTTGCATTGAGAATTGAAATTATTCTTCGTGTGCATATATTAAGATCAAGCTAGCATCATCCTGTATGATCAACATATGAGCAGCTTGTGTCACCCGGCCCAGTTCACTGATTTCAATGAACCTTGATCATGGCTGTAAACTATGATGAAAGATCCTGTATAGGTGCCTTCGTGACATCTACTGCCTGCCCTCACTTCCAGATTCAAATTTGGCTTGCAATGGCATACGATGCCAATAGGCGGCACAAGGAATCCATAGCATTGTACAAAGAATTGGAGAATACACATCCAATGATTAGCATCAGGAGACAAGCAGCTGAATTCCGGTACATTGCTGAGGCGCCCAAGTTGAAGATCTCCAACGATGAGGTGGTCACGATACCGCAAATTGGATCTAGCTGGGACTGGTTAGTTATCTTTCTGACACCTTACTATTTGTTCTCTCACCATCTCTGTGCCTGACAGCTACTTTGGTTTCTCTCTGCATGTGAGCGTTGTTTGAGTTAAGTGACACCTTCAAGCAAAACATTAAACAAATAAAATGGACTTTTCTTGGCTGTCAACAATGCGTAAAGGAGAATTTTTTATTTTCAGTCACATATCTGCTTTAGCGGCTAGTATATGAAGTATTAAACGCTGCTGAACTGTACTTATTTTATACTGTAAACTGGTTGTTTGTTGCTATGCTACCACATATGACACTGTGTAACTAAATAGTTTTTTGGTTGCAAGTATAGCATTTTATTAAATTCTTCTTTCCACAACAAAATAATTTTGGCTACTTATCATAAGTAAATGTCTGTTAATTTTGATTGACCTCATTTTCTAGCTAATTATACATCCTGGATTTAGTTTCCTTTTGTACTCTTGGTTTGAACACTTTAACTGGAGTCAGAACTATGACATACAGCACCATGTGAGTAGGCAACATTGTCTGCATTCTGCAAGAGATTTTCCATGTAGTTACAGCTTACATAGAAATATCATACCCTTCCATTTCATGCAATGGAAACTATCTGTCAATTCGTTCTTCTGGATTAAACATTCTAATTTGCCACGTGCTGTTGCATTAATCAGGTACGCTGGGACATGGAGTGACAAGATCCAAGAGCAAGAGGACAAGAAAAGAAAGATGGTGGCCGCCGCGAGCCAACCGGAGCCGTCGACGAACGTCTTCGGCAACCTGTTCCTCCTGCGGCCGCCGAGCGAGTGGAAGAAGAGCGCCTGGGCGATCGTCACCCTGTGGGCCGTGCTGATCGGGACAGCGTTCTATCTGCAGAGATGAACAACTCCTGCAAGTCCTGAAGAGACCATTGACACTCTCATCCTCCATGGTCGCTCGCGCGGATAACAGTGAGATTGCAGCAAGGGATGTCCTGAGCCTGCATCGGCACTGCAGGCGTTGAAGGAGAATTGCATTTGTTATTTTAGGTGTGCTATCCAGGGAAGCTATACATTTCCTTAAAAAGAAAAAAAGAAAGAAAAGAGGAAAGCTATACATATTCCCTTGTGTACTGGCATAGCCCAGAAAATACTATTTTCCCACTGAATGTAAATACCAATTAGAGATGTAATCTAACAAAAAAATGCTTATTGGTCCTATATTGATTCTTTAGAAAACTCGGCTATGAATATAATGTTAAAGAAACGTGTTCTTATGTGCTTGTGGTAAGAGAAAATTGAGCTCAGTGCCACCACACACACACACACACAAAAACATATACTCCCTCCGTTCCGAATTACTTGTCTTAGATTTGTCTAGATACGGAGGTATCTAGCACTAAAATGAGTGTAGATACATCCGTATCTAGACAAATCCAAGACAAGTAATTCGGAACAGAGGGAGTAGATAACAAAAAAATATATATCTGCCTTGTATGCCAGCTCTTGGTCATGATGGTGCCGAGCTATACCTTGTTCCCCACTCTCGATAACAAAGTTATCTCTGGGGTATTTCATGAAGATGCTGGAATTTGTTTTGTTAATAGGCCCTGTTTGGTTCAGCTGTGGATTTCTAAAAGCGGCTGTAAAAAGATCTGCTATGGAGAAACAATTGTGGAAAATCTGATGTGAAAAAGATGTAGGTCATTTGGCAAACCAACTGATACAGGTTTTTCAGATTTTGGCCCGCAGCGGAATCAGATTTTAGAAAGCACGTCCTGGGCTGCTTCCGCTTTTGGTTCAGATTTTGGCAGCGGATTTCTGGAATCGGATTCTGCTAGGTTCGCCCTTTGGTTCAGATTCTGCTGCGCGGCAGCGAAATCCGTCGATAAAAACTGAACCAAACATGGCCTATATGATTTTCTATGTATGCTCCTCATGCTCAATATGAAACATTCCCATTTTTTTTTTTTGAAATTCTCCTCATGCTTAATCTGATCAAACCATGCCTGTCTTCTACTTATCAGTTACTTTATTTTATTTCTTGATGAGAGGACGAAGGATGGAACGTGGCTGTTGTGCCTTTTGACCTGTTCTCGTTGTTTTTTTAGGTTCTCTCTGAAAAATGAAAATAGAAGAAGCAGGTATAGAGAGACTAGAGAGAGAGAGAGAGAGAGAGAGAGGAAGCCCATTTTGGGCCCTGGAAAGGAATGGTCCGGCCCAGGACGGTGGCGAGGCGACCGAGACGACACGACCCACCACCTCCGGGACCAGCGGCCGCAGAACCCACCACCCCCCTCCTCTCTCACTTTCGTTCCCCTCCGCTGCCTTCGCT